TCAAGACGCAGCCAACATTAGTCGCGTCTGGTCGTATGTAGCCGGCAGGAACCGAGTCACCGTCCAGCTTGCCGATCTCCTCTTAGCCCGTTCATAGATCTCTCCTGCTCTGTCTGAAATTTGGTCCAGAGGGAAGAACGCCATGGGCATCGTAGAAACAGCAAGTTCTTGGGCTTGTTTGCTAACAAGATCTGTCAGCAACACTACGCATGTCAGGATCAAAATACTACTTACGGGAACTCATTTTTCAGCTCTAGACGGCAACTTTCAGTATAAGTCTGCAATCAGACTGAGATACACACCCCACGACATCGCAAGTGCCATGTGTTCTTGCATGTTTTCGCCGACACCAGGAAGATCGAGCTTGACGGGAACTCCAATCTTCGACAGTACATCATTTCGGCCAATCCCAGACAACTCTAGGATCTGCGGAGACTTGAGCGCTCTGTGGAACGCCGCGCTCATTCAATAAACAGAACGGACATGCATGAGATGTTCCTACCCGGCGCTCAAAATAACCTCTCTGGTGGCTCGCACGCTATGAATATCGCCACCATAGCCAAATTCGACGCCAGTGGCAGTAAGATTGCCAGCAGCGCCAGGCTGGGTGAGGACGCGGCGCACGTGAGCGTCCGTTAGAACGGACAAGTTTGGCCTGTCTTTGTTTGGCAGATAGAATGCGGTCGTCGAATACGATCTCGTGTACGTCTCTGTGTCGCAGGTGCTGGCACACCAGAACCATCCATTTGGCTACATTTTCGGTCATCATTGGGCGATCTTGGCAACGCCAGAACGAGGCACTCACATCTCCGTTGTACTGACCAATGGCATGGGTTAGTCTGTGTGAATCGGAGTATACACGGTGCATTTGCTCACGGGTTGGGGTGCCGGACGTAGTCCAGCGTTCTCCATAGCCTCTGTCAGCTTGAGCTCACCATCTTGGATTGATGGGATTCCGACCAAAAGCTGTCCTACACGAAGCCGGTGGGCAAGCTATTCACTTCTAAAGACAATTTACCGCACCATTCCTCCCGAATTTCCAAGCGGAGGGGTCTGTCTTAGATCTTATCTGGATATCTTCAGGCGGAGGCTGAAATCTGGTCGAGGATCATTCAGTCGTGTTAACTGTGTCGATATAATAGAGCCATGTCCTACCTTTCTATCCTCTCGAGCATCTCCTGGTGAGCCTCCCAGTTCCATCCAGGGTTGCCTAGCGTTTCCCAATCTGTACCGAGGAATAGTCAATTTCCTACTACAAATTCCGACACGAAGGGAAGTACACACCATCTATGTGACGTGCCGGCGGCTTACAATACCCCAAGAAGTTTATAGCAGTCGAACCACCAAGGCCTTTTCCTCGTGAAAAATACACGGACCGATTGTTAAGGTGTTTCTGTTTGACCTGTGTGGGCAATATGTTTACTTGAATCTCACGGAAACAATATAGTACGGTATACCAACCGAGTTATGGGCCCAATCATACTGAGGTTTGCCGAAATGTGAGCCGAACAAGGCGGCATGCACTGTGAAAGCCATCAACGTGGGGGATAAGATTAGACATGAATTACCACGTACATAGTTCCGGATCATTGAGGTTTGCCCCTCCGGATTCCAGCACAAGGACAGCCGTGGAAGGATCTTCGCTCAATCGTGCTGCCAAAGTTAGTCCGCATCCCTGGTAGTCCCCCGCGCGTAAGCTATATGTTGGGAATTGCATGCAGGCGGACGCACCCCGCCACCTACGAAGAATAATCGACAATCACTAAACCGCTACGGATGTGAGACTGTGAGAGTTGACGCACCAGCTATAATATAGTCGAAGCTCTGGCCGGAGACCTTGTCGATCCCGGAGACGTTAGACATGTCGAGTTGAGAGTGGATGAGTGGAAATGCCTGCGTAGTAACGCAACGATGATGGGTGTCCTTCGAAGAGATGGGGTGAGCCCCCTCACGGCGGCAAAGTGGACGGTTTGTTCATTGATATCTCGGGTCAGCCGAGAGATGAGATCTTGAGACGTGAATAGATCTGCTCGCATCTCGCCATCTCCCCGAGTCCCGGCCCGCTCGCTTCTGAAGCAGCCTGGGAAGTCTATTTGTACGAGACAAATAAAAACTGCCAACGAGGTTTAGAGGGACAGTTTGTCCAACGTGTTGTACAATCTGGGACGGGGAGAGAAGGGTAAATACCTTGTGGCTGATATATATAACGCCCTCCTCTTTCGGCTGTAATCTTGTCTCTCTCACCAATTACGGCCTTTGACCGAGTGCGCCTCTCACCAATACCGCGTCTGCGCCGCGCTTGCCAAAATACAATAAATGGCATGCGAGCTGGACTTGCACAGGATGTTACGGCTTCTTTCGTATTGATATGAACATATGGTGCGGCGAAAGCAAACTTATGAGCTGTTCGAATGCCTGGCAGCGAGCTCTGTGACACAGTGCGTCTTCAGTGCGAAAAAAGTGCGAAAAGTTGCAGACGCGTGAAGATACAGACCACATACCCGAACTAGTAACGAAAATTCCTACATCGCAAAGCGAGTGCTTTCTTGAACCACTGATCCGGCACGCAGTTATAGAGCTCGCACCGAGTACTGGCAAGTAGGCCGGAGGGAAGCTGCACGTCTCCTCCCAGAGCCAACCGCACGGCGCCTTGAATGTTGTCCTATTACTTAAGGTCATCAAGGATGTCTTCGAAATTCCTGTCGATACTGTCGTCGTCATCATCGCATAGCAAAGTGATCATCGATAGCTCTCTGTGCGGTGTATTCGTGATGCCAGCTTGCCACGGTCCGTGGACTTGTGCCGACATCCAAAGCATCTTTCAAGGCGTCATTTTGTCTCGTACTACCAGATGGAGCTGCCTGTTTTAGAGGCGGGCGGGACTCGAGGGCGGGATGGCGGGGGCAAGCCGGCATTTGCATTTGAGCGGCTACGTCGGATCACAGGCGCTTAACGGATACCGTTCTTGGCTCGTGAGGGCTGCAACTTGTAGCAACCAAACTCTTTCGCTGTATCCTATACATTGCTGTATCAAGTTTTCACGGTCTCACCGGATGAAGCTAAGATCTTGAAGTTTCTTGAACTCATCACAGCCTCGGGGCACCAAGCAGTGCAGGCCGGGACTCCGGGATCATCGGGTAGTCTGCCAAATAATGCTGCGGTGGCAGTCTCTGCCAGCCGGACTCAGCCACCTCCCGCTGCGCGGCAAAGAGGCTGTTCGGCCCTCTGTCGAACTGGTAGACAGGGCCATGTAACGTGTCTCAGGCTGTCGACCAAAGCGTCCGCCGATGTTGCTGCTCTGCTTCTTCAAGGTCTCTGCGGCGGAAGGATAGGAGGAAATTTATTGTGTGTAAGGCTTGTTATACCATGGTACTCATCTTTCTATGTTGCTAAGCTGATGCCGCAGGGCCAGACGAAGCTTGCGACGTGCTAGGTGTGCCGTCGGCCTCGGACGATACCCTAGACTCCGAGCTCTTCCGATGACAGATATATAGCTGCCAGGAATGAGGTCCTTTCGCGACGAACGTGCATTGACAGTTCAAATCAGCATTTCCGAGGACGCTGCAAGGAACGAAAGGTTCCTGGGATCGCTGTCGTGCATGGACGATGCCTCATGCCTTCTGACCGCAGCATTGTATACCTGCCGAAGTGCGGATATTTAAACCTGCCATTTGCATCGCTGTTCCTCAGACAAGCAGCATGCTAAGATTACAGAGAGTCCCCTCCCTCGCTTCGGCCCTACTCTTCGTCGGGCTCGTGATCGCTTCTGAATTGCACGCTCGAGACGCCACCTTTGATTGGCCAAATGTAGGGCCTCTGCGATCCCATCTAATTCCATCCTGTTGACTAAGTTATTTTCAGTTAACCTCGTCCAGCAGTCTCTCTTGGGTTCCCTGCTTCAGCAGCTTTCAATGCGCTAGATTGACAGTGCGTATATGAATACATATATTCCGCATCAACCGCTGACGCTCACTGATATGTAGGTCCCTCTCCAGTACTCAAACCCTGGAGCGGGAGAGGCACAAATTGCCTTACTCATGTCCCCATCCAGCTTTCCAAAGAACGATTCCAGGTACCTTGGATCCATCTTGTTTAACCCCGGTAAGATTTTCCCTTATCCTATGTGCGCGAACAAACAGTTTACACCATGCTTGGTAAGGTGGACCTGGTGACTCTGGTGTCAACACTGTGATGACACTTGCATCTACGATTCGACCTGTCATCGGGCCTCAGTATGATTTCATTGGCTTTGATCCTCGTGGTGAGCTATGCCAGTTGCCTCATGGAAGAACGTCTTACAAGTGCTATTCTTGTAGGTGTCGGGGAGACGACCCCCTTCTTGTCGATCTTCGACAGCCCGCCTGAGGCCCTCGAGTTCTACGCGCCATACCCGCAAAATGTTAACGAGTCGGTTTCGTCATTCGGACGCGCATATGCACAGTCGCAGATTCTCGGAAAATTGGCCATGGACCGTGCCCAGCTGGTTGCCGAGTCTGTCTCCACCCCCGCTGTAGCGTTGGACATGTTCAGCATCATGAAAGCCCTCGGGCAGGACAAACTGAACTATTACGGAATCTCGTGCCCCATTTGTTTTGTCTACGGTGTTATAACACTCTCAGCTGATACTATTTTCGCTTAGGTATGGAACGGTTCTAGGTGCTACGTAAGATCGCTAGCAGTTACTTGGGGATATGACCTGACGTATCTTATGTACAGATTCGCTGCCATGTTCCCTAATAATGTCGGTCGCTTCGTGTTGGATGGAGTCGTCGACCCCGACGGATGGTATCAAGGTTAGCTTCAATAAGCTCGCACGAGCAATAGACGTACTGACGTTGTTTTGGCAGGCAACATGACCAACTTACTTCTCGACACGGACAAAGTCTTGACCACCATCTACCACGCCTGTGTTTCTGCAGGGCCTTCTCTTTGCGCCATCTACGAGAACACCACTGATCTGGTACATGCGCGCGTCAGCCGGCTTCTTGACGACGTCCACCTGGCCCCCGTGCTGGTGTACAACGACACCGATCCATCGAACATCACTTTCTCAGTCGTGGACTATACAGTCGTGGAGTCGCATATACTCGCTACACTCAAGAATCCATACTCTATGGCGACTGCCCTTGCGGAGGCGATCGTTCAACTCGAGAACGGTGACGGCAGTCTCATCCTGGGTGCGGCTGGCGTGACCAACGTGGCCCAGTTTGCAACCTGCGACTTCGATCCGTCGCAACCATACGTCGCCGGGTTCCTTGACATCCGTGCTCCAATTGAGTGCGGCGACAGTCTGGTCGATACGAGGCGGACGCTGCAGGCGGCGCAGGACGACTATCAGGGCATGCTGCAACTCTCACAGTTTGCAACCACCATTTATCCGCTAATGCAGGGGATATGCACGCACGTATAACTTCCTTGTGTGGACCATGCGGTCTAATTTATCTCACGCTTTGCTCAGTGGCTGGTCAATTCGCGGCAAGGACTCTTTCAACGGTACGTCGCCGATCGTTCGGGAGTTCTTCATTCTTATGACAATGAAATAGGAAGCCTGGTAACCAATACAAGCTCTCCTATCCTCGTTATCAGCAACCTGCTCGGTATGTTGCTACATCCGCCGAGATATAATAAACATCTGAATGGCCATTCTACGCAGATCCTATAGCGCCGCTTGCTAAGTAATTATCAGTCTTCTCCGCTTCGTATTTATTTTCTGATTTTTCATACCAGCGCTCGTGAACTATCTTCTGGCTTCGCAGGATCCGTACTCCTTCAACAGAACGCCACTGGAGTATGTCTTCTCGCTATGTCCTACCTGCAGTCGTTCTGACAACCAAACACCATAGCATACGTCTCTGTCCGGGTTTTCGACCTGCACAGGTCTGGTGATCAATTCCTACTTCGCAACTGGGGCTCTGCCAAATCCTGGTACCATATGTCAGACTACTTCGCAGATCTTCGCACCGACGGACGCGTCGACCTCGGCTATTGCGGCACGGTCGGAGCGGGGCGTTGACGGCACAGTACTTGCTCTGGAGGACGCTGTTCACGCTTTGCAGAGTTGGAAGAGGCGTGGTCCGGCGTTCAGTGGTCGGATGTTCTAACTGGTCTCGAGAGTTCCGACCCTTCTGAATGTCAAGGCTGCCTTATTACTTTTGTTTGTGTGGTGAAGTTTCACCGAGGATTCGCCGATAATACTGCTCACGTCATTCGTCGTTGTGAAATGTGATACTAGGCTTCACTCATAGTTCAGCGAGGCCTCCGATACTAGCGACTCGTTGACAACGTAGCTCAGCGGCTGGAAGCTGTGTACTAACGATAGGCCATGAAACCCTGGGCCCCGCAGACGATCCAGCGGGGCGCCCGGTCGGCCCAGTCGAGGGTGCGACGACTCAGACACAGACGAAGGCCTTCAACACGACGAGCTTACTCGGAGAGCGGAAGGTGATGTTAAATAAACCTCTCTAACCTAACTACTGTATGCAGTAGCGTACATGAGAACACTGAGGCCACGACCTCCCCAGGGTCGCCTCTGGCTATCGCCCAAATCACACCACGGAGACCGCTACAAAATCATTATGGCGAAAGCACATCGAATATAAATACTGAAGAAATAGAGATAGCTCAGCATCCCACAAGATCAGGGTGCGTACAGTGGAAGGCGCGTACCACGCACAACCACTCTTAAGCCTCATACGGGATTCTGGTCTCGAGGGATACAAGACCGGAAGCACAGGCGATAGCTCTTCGTCGTGCTATGGTCGGGGTTAGGCGAGCCTCCTGCCGCAGATCCTCGAGAGGCTGCTCGACGTTGTAGGTGGATGAGGATGCGCACCGTCAACACCGCGCGTCTCCAGCGCGGGTGTGCGTGGAAGGAGATGCGACGCAACTGGAGTACCGTGAACACGACCAGCCTCGCGCGCCTCCATTGCGCAGTCCCCAGCTCTCGCTGTTCGAGCAGCGGACAGCCATGGTAATGGTTCCGCGGCTTGCCCATACACTTATCGTGCGTCGCCCATTCGCAATGCGAGGTTTCGCACTCGCTGCCGGCGAGAGACTGGTGGGCGGCTCGCAGCTGGACGTGGAGGCTACGCCTGATGTGCCGCCCGTCGAAGCTGAACATGTGTGTGACGTACGCCTCCTCGAGCGCATGTAGCAGGAGCCGGTACTGCGCGCCGTGTTCGCTCGCGAGCAGCTCCTTCTCCGCGGCCAGCCCCCATATCCACTGCAGGTACGGGAACTGCGCTGACGCCCCCGTGTCCTGCTTGGGTCCCTTGGCGAGTGCCTCGGCCGCTCTGACCATCTTCCGCAGTATACCGTCCATTACATCGCGAGATACGCTGGATATTCGGTGTCCCGCAAGCCACTTTGTCGCGGTGAGTATGAACATCCTGAGACGGTCTTCGTTCGCGTGCTCAAAGTGGGCCTCGAAGTAATGTAATAGGAGCGACTCGAAGTCTTCGTCCCGTGTCCTCCCTTCAGAGATGACTATAATGTCATCGAAAAGGCAATTTAGTAGGGCTCTCAAGAAATGGAAGGATGGACTTACCGAGACGCCTATCTAGCGCCGAGAATCCAATCCTGTATGTCTGCACCACATCTCGGTATGCGACAAACTGCATCCCAGAGGTGACAGGGTATCCGATGCCGCAGAGGACAAACTGGAGAAGGAATAGTCGTAGCTTCTTCACAGTGTCGCTAGCATCTTGGGAGAACGGTCCTCTTGGAGAAAACGCCTTGAGGAACCACTTTAGGGTGTCCTGGTGATATCGAAGTTCCATCCGACTGCACTGTTCGATGTACCGGGTGACGTGGGGGTCCTGTGCTGACTGCTTCACCCAGAATAGCGCTCCTATCAGGAAGCTCATCTCACTAAGCTCCTCAAGAAAGGAATCATAGGAAACGTGGGACTTTGAGACCGCGTCCGATAACAGTGCCGTCATATCCCTGTAGTCGCTGAGGTCCTTGGGTAGCGGCGCGAATTCGCGGATGATGCGCTCCGCGATGCGTATCGTTGTAGCCAGCACCTGCTCCACAAAGTCTGGACGTTGCGCGCGATGAACCGCTCGGCAGCTCTGGAGGTCGAGAGTCCTCCAAGACATGCCGAATAAGAGCGGGCTAGTAGGGGTAAGCGGTCTGCACTCTTTCTTCTCGCAATGCTCCCAGTGAGTCGAAAATAGTCGATAGATGCAAGAGAGTGGATCGTTTCGTCCGGTATTTCCCGAAGACGCGCTCGAGGCGGGAGACGAGTGATCCTCTGCTGCAGAATTCCCCGAACTCACCGCCACCGCCTTCTCTGAGGATGCGCCCGAGGAACGATGTAGCGAATTCCCTGCTCCGCCTTGTCCCTGAGAAACGACCGGGACACGATGCAAGGAGCCTTCTTCTGCGGTATTTCCCTGAGATATGCCTGAGTCGCGGTGCGATGAGTGTTCTGCCGTGCCAGTTCCCGGGGGGTTACTCGCTATAGAGGAAGTACGTTAGTACATTCGTGGTGTGTCAAAGTGCGCATTGCCGACCTCGGAGATAGTTCCATCGGGAACGGACCAGTGACCAACGTTCATGCATCCGCCGGAAGAAATACGAGGCGCTGCGGGTGGCGAAGTTGTAGATGAGCACCAGTGTCCACGCCGCAGGCGTTCTGTATGGACACCGCCGAAAGACGACTGGAAGGACAGTGACTACCGCCTGCGCAAGAAGGAAAACGGAGCTGGCTACGGTGACGCAGATGGCGACGATGCTGTCTAACGTCCAGAGAAGAATGATGATGCCGACGAGGAATAGTGTCATTGCGACTTCTAGCAGCGCGAGCGCCATGGACACGACGATGGTGACGTCCCATAGTTCCCATGCCTCGAGGCGGAACTGGCGCACGAGCACGTTTTCGCGCGGAGGGGAAAGCGGGGAGTTCCAAGTCATGTAATGGCGCAGCCACTGCTTGATGAGGATGCCGAAAAGCGCAGCAGCCAGACTGAGTATAAGACTGACGAAAAAGAGGGAGTTGATCCATCGCGCGGCGGGGTCCGATGCAAACTGCGGTTTGCTCTCAAGGACTAGTGGAGTGGAAGGAACGAAAGAGGTCTGTGTGAAGACAGCAGAAAAACCTTGTATGAGCAGCCTGTGAGTCGCTACGAGGAGCTCGTTGTTCGTCGCAAGGAACTGATTTGTTGCCTCTTCGCCGGACGGCAGCAGCTGTTGGTATGTATCGACAACGAAGGCGGTAAGGATAGCTGAGAAAAGAGCAGCCTTTCCTCTCTGTTAGTTGATAATAATAAGCAGATTAGTGGAGCACGCACAAACAGAAGAAGGTTATCGACATCCTCGGAATACCCCTTTATCCGCTCAACATCGTTGTCCGCTACGTACGATTGTATGCCAGCCCAATCAGATAATCCACCGGTGTCCTATTCCGAATCGAAGAGAACGGATGCGTTTTCAGCAATCGCACAGGATAGATATGTCCTCACATACCTCAGGGTGCATATCCTTGGTACGCACATCGTCGCTGGTCGTATCGGTACTGTCCATGGCGTGCCCTTCCCAAACAGGCTAGATTAATGCTAGCAGGTGCAGTACGAGTGGGTGCAGCACGAGTGGTAGGGGGAGGAAGGGAAATCTAGCCCTTGGGGGGACAAGTGGCCTGTCTGAACGTCATATTATTGATTTGCTGGTATATAAAAGGAGCGTGGAGAGCACGTACAGGTGTGATGAAGCTCCATGCGTGGATCATTGTGTGCCGCACCACGCAAGAGCTTCACAAGCAAGTTGGCGATGTCGTAAAGTTGAAACGAGAAGCACAGGGTCATACAGGTATTCTCGTGGCGGCGGATGATGTGCGATAGCTCTTGTCCCGAGCTGGCCGGTCGGAAGGCGGGAAAGCCTAGACAAATGTGCAGACCTCGCGCAACGTAAACCTTGGTGTTGTACATGTCAGTTGCTGAGAAGATTGAGAAGACCGAGAGTTCGCATACCGCGAAGCAAGCCCACGTCCGTCGTGTCTGGACTGCAGCATAGAAGTCTGAGGCTCCCTTTCGGCTGTCGATCGCGCGCCGCCACGCATGCTCGGAGAAGCGGGAGCCAGCTCCCTCACACCATATGTACGGTTCCGAGTGGCATTATTGCTACCGAAAATACAGGCTTGCAACCCACCCGCATTCCATCAGCATCGATATGAGATAGCCTAGCTATTTATCTTGACGGTCACCTAGAAGACGAAGGCAGCCTTTTCAGGCGTGAGATGGAATGGGTCAGCGTACCGTAAGAGAGCATGCGGGGGCAGTGCTTGCTGCATGCCGCAAAGTTTCAAGGATCCTAAGAGCTAGTTGAAATCTGGAAAGCTCGACGTGGCTTCTATTCGCGCGAAAGACCGTATTTGCGGCGTGCCTGGCACGAGTGCTATGTGCAGGAGGAAAATGCGTGTTAGCCGAAGACGAATCTCATCCACCTCGTAACCCGCGTCACAGATAAACCACCAAGAGAGATCGCCTCAACCGAGGAGAACAGGCCCAGTGGTCGCCCTGCTTGTCAAGGAGAAAATCCGAAATTGCGCAGTCACTGGAGTTTGTCGCGGGACCGTCACGTCACACAGAACGCTTTCGCGCCGTAAGGTCGGCTGTTGCCAGGTGGCTAATAGCAATTTACGCTGTTATACAGGCCTATAAGCGGCGAAGTACAGCGAATTACACGTAGATGCAAGTCCTGGGGTCACAGCTATGGTCTATCTGCGAATACCGATATGAAGTTCCATACGCCATTACGTAATGTCACTTGTAACGGCTGTAACGTGTGACGCGTGACGCGGCGTGGGCCCCCAGAGAGCAGTTTTTTCGGCACGAAGGTCATCTTCCGATGAAGGTCATCGATCATCTCCCGGTCACCCGACGAGTCGCTTGGTACGAGAATTTTTGCCATATAAGGACACCTTACTACTACGGGAAATCAGACTATCAGTTTTTTGGAGAACCTCCAGGGATCGGAAGCTCCCGGCCGTCCGTCTCGCCCGGACGGGAGGGACACCAACTACGGACGGCCGGGACAGTCCGTTTCCCGGGCCTTCTGGTTTTTTCGGCCCCGTGAAAACAGGCTGCTGCTGCCCTAAACCATGGTCGACTGGTCGCCAATCACGAATCGAGTCCATGGTTAGTCTCGTTTCCATCCGCTCTTAACTCCGACGTGTAAACACTGTCGGCCAGTGCATCGGACTTTGAAAGCAAAGTGCACTGGCTCGTTAGAGCGTCTGGTCCACTTGGATCATCCGGGGGGGTCTCGTCCGCACGTGACTGACGCGCACACATACCGCGCCCGTAGCCTGCCGTTGGCGGCTATTTGGGCTGCAGTGGTACTCTCCGTTGCAGGGGGCTTATAAAAACACAAATGTACTCAAGAATATATCAGAGGCACTTTTACATATATGTCTGACTGCATACACGAACGCCTTACTCATCACCAGCAACTTGGCGGTGCGCAGGCGGTCACTTCCTCAGGGAGCGTGTAGATCACGTGCGAATGAGG